AATCAGGGGTAAATTTTGATTGCTTTTTTATCAAAAATTATAAAATTATCTCAGACCTTGATTTTGCTGGCAACGAATCCATATGGTATATGATTATAAAGTCATAAAAATTTTCATATGACTATATTATATGTTAACACTAGCTTATATTATAATTAAAGCTCTACAAGTTAAATAAACCAATTTAGTTTAAGTTACTATAAAATAAGCTATAAACTAGATAAGCTAACTTATACTATAACTTAACTTATATATATATTAACTTATTGGCTCACATTTTTTTTTAAAAGTAAATATCATAAAAAATGTTTTCTTTAGATAAAAACAGTTCTAATAATATTTACATTTAATATAAATATCTTTAGCTAATATTTTCTTTAAAAAATAATACATTTAGTAATATTTTCTTTAAAGAAATTTACCTTTAGATATTTTCTTAAAAGAATTTACTTTTAGAGTAAAAAATCTTTCTAAAATGATTTCTTAAAAAATTGGTTTCTAAGATGAATTTTTTCAAAAATTTTATTTTTGAAATAATTTTTCTTAACAAATTTAATTTTTGAAAAAATTTTCTTTTAAGCAATTTTTTATTTTTAGAATGATTTCTTTAAAAAATTCATCTTTAGAATATTTTTTTTAAAGAAAATTGCTTTTGAATAAGATTACTAGGTAAAATCTAAAGATTTTGTAAGTCATCTAAATGGTAAAAATAAAATTTAGTGAAATTATATATTAAAATTCTGAAAAAGTAAAACTAATCAAAGCTTATAAAAATGCAAAAATATATCAAAACTTAATAAAATTAGCAAAACTATAGTTTAGACATTTTACAAGTTTAAACAAGTAAACTTATTTCTAAAACAATTTCTTTTTTAAAGAAAATGTTTTTGAATAAAATTTTTTTAAAAATAAAAAGATTTCAGAGTAATTTTTTCAAAAGAAAATATTTTTTAAAGCTATTTTTTTTTAAAAAAAAAAGGTTTTAAAACCATTTTAATTCTTTTTAAAAAAATGTCTTAGAAGAATTTTTTTTAAAAATTACTTCTTTGAAAATAATTATTCTGAAAATATCTCTTAATGAAAATCATTCTGAAAATATTCTTTTCAAGAAGAATTATTCTAAGAACATTTTTCTTATTTCTCTTAATGTGAATCACATGATAAATATTATAATCACGTGATATACAAGGATTAGCTATTATAAACGAAGTGGTACAATAATTATGGAAGTCACCGTATAATCCTATAAAATATTTTTATTATAGCCTTTAAGATTAGATATTATTATATTGGAATATTTTTAATATAATTTAAATTCGATATTTCTTTTTTTTTTTCATTTGCTTATTAGGAGGACTCTATTATTAATTCGATTTTGTGTTGTTATTTTTTAGCTACTTCCAAGTAAGCGTGGCATGTAATTTTTTTTGTCATTATTATTTTCGTTTTTAGTTTTCATTTTTTACTGTCCTTTAACTTTTTTTTTTTTTATTTACTTTTTGTCATATCATGAGCTAATAATGAACAAATATCAGTTTTAAACAATGCACATTTGTGGAAATCGTATATAACAAAATTTATTAAAATAAAATAAATGTGAATGAATGTATATGCAGTAACGAATGAAATAAATAAATTATATATAAGTTTTTTTGTTTTGGAAAATATTAAAAAAGCTATACACAAAGAAAAGTATTAAATAATTAATTATTATGATATGATAAAATGAAAACGTAAAATAATTTTCTAGAAACACATAAATTTGCTTTTCTTAGCCATAAGTTCTTCCATACGATTTTCAAGTTGTCGTCTTGCTTTCTCGGCTTGTTCTTTAGCTCTTCTTTCTTCTAATAAAACGTTCTCAATAGCTCTCTTTTCTTTTTGAACCGAAGTTTTAGTACGTTCGTATTGTATTTCTGTTTCCTCCAATTGCATTTGCAAACTCTTCATTTGATTCATTAAATCTGATTTTTCCCGTTGTAATATTTGTAATTGTTGTTTTGCAGTACGTAAATTTGATTCTGAATCATTAAGAGAAGCCTCTAAAGTGTCTACAAGTTGACGATTGTCTAAATTTTCTCCTTCCATCTTTGCAATTCGTTTATTAAGTTTCTGAACTTCCATTATAAGGTCGGGTGAAGTCGTGTTAGAACTATTTCGAGATTCTGGTCTTGGTGGAAGAGGAGATTTTGGTGGAGGAGGTGGTGGTGGTAAAGGTTGATTTGGCGGAGGTGTAGGTGGCAATGTTTTGACATTTGTAGGTGATCCAGCACGAACGGCATTTTTTCTTAATTCGGGACTACTTGCACGATATCCACCAACTGCATCGAGTTCCGCAGCAATTGGTGTACTAGAACGAACTTCGGCTTGTTTCTCGAGCTCGTTAATCTTATCTTGAAGAGCTTTAATAAGAATATTTTGCTGAGAAATAGTGGATTCTTGGTAAAGTTTAGAAGTATATCCTAAATCAAGTGAATCTCCACTGTCTCCAATAGTATCTGGTAAAGGATATTTTGAAACGTTAAGTTCATGCTCAAGTTGTTTGTTTGATTCGATGAGACTTAAAATTTCTTTTTGCATTTCAGAAGTATTTTCTTTAGCCTTTAGCTTCTCTTGAGACATTTCTTTTTCAAGTGATAATACCTTTAGGTTCAATTCGGCAAGATGTACATTTACGGCAGTTTTATTCCCATCTTGACCAGATGTTTGCAGTTGTTTCACTAAATGTTCTATTCTTTGATCAAGGTTTACCCGTTCTTCAAGGAATGCTTCGTTTGATTGTTTTAATCCTTCATTTTCAACTTCAAGTCCTTGAATTTTCGCCTTCAAAGCATCAACTGATGAATCATCATCCGTAGTTTTAGTACTTTCTAACTCATTCTCTAAAGTTTTCAACCTTACGCTTAAAGATGAAGCACGATGTTCAGCTTCAGTAATCTTTTTATTAAGATCGTCATTTGTCTGTCGTAAACTTTCATTCGCGGCAGCAAGTTTTGTAAGAGATGGATTTGAATTAATACTTAAGGGTTGAGATTTTTTTGCTACTTCTAATGCAGTTTCCAACTCGGATAATTGTATCTTTTGATCCTTTATTAGAGCCTCGGTATCTTCTTGCTTTGTAACCGCTTCAGCGTATTCTTCAGTTAAAAATTCAAGATCCTTCTGAAGTCGTTCAATTTGCTGAGCAAGGTCAGCATTGATAACAATATGATTATTCTTTTCCGATTTCAACTTGTTTGCTTCCTTTTGTAACGTATCCGCGCGCTCTTTTTGTGCATGTACTTCTTTTAGAACATTCTTTAATTCTTTCGTAAGGTCATCATCAATATTTGAAAAGTTCTTTAATAAAGAGTCATGATGAACTTCATTAATTTTGTTTTGTAATGAAACACACTTTTCTTTTAATGTGTCAATCTCTGAATTGGCTTCAGCTAGTTTGGAACTGTGATCATCATTTTGTTCTTCAGCTTTTTGAAGTTGAGATTCCAAACAAAGAATTAGTTCTGTTTGTTGACTTTCGTAACATTTGGCTTGTTCAATACCGGACTTAAATTGATTGATTTGATCATTTTTAGCAGCTTCGGATGCTTTTAAGTTCTTGAGTTCAGTTCTTATCTTTTCAATTGTAGTTTCCAATTCAGCACATTTTGAATTTTTATCCAATAATAAAGCGTTGGCTTCATTTAATTCAGTTTCAAGCTCCTTTATTATCTGAAAACGTCGTTCCTCCGATTCTTTTGCATCATTAAGTTGGAAATTTATAGAAGCAAGTTTTTCTTCGAGACTTGCAATTGTTTCCTGATCAACCTTTGAAGCTTCCTTGGCCTGTTCGAGTTGAGATTGGAGATCCGAGATTTTATTTTCAAGTGCTACTATAGCTTTATTTTTTTCAAACTCTCTTGCTCTAAGAATTTCGCTCAATTCTTTGTCGCTATCAAGAAGTAGTTCTCGTTCTTTCTCAATAAGATTCTTCTGATTTTCAATTTCAAATAAACGTTTATTTTGAGCTTCTATATTCATTTTAGAATTTGTTAATTCGGTATTTAAATTTACGATAACTTTTTCGTTGGCGTCTCCAGCAGCTTTTAACATTTCTATTTCATTTTCCAATGACTTGACCTTACTCTCTTCCTCATCTCGTTGTTGCTTCGTAGTGTTCAGCAAAATCGAAATTTGCTCATGCTTTTTAATATTATTGCCATATTGTTCATTTGTTTTTATCAGTTCTTCTCGAACATTTTTTAATTCTCCTTCCAAGGTTATGACAAGTTCTTTTTGAGCCGCAAAATCTTTTTTCATACTTTCTAATTCTTTGATTGCTATATTTTTGGTGCTTTGAGTTTCTTCAAGTTGATATTGTAATTGTTCGATTTTAGATTTTTGTTCCAAGTCTAATTCTTTCAATAATTTGAGCTCGTCTTTTATCATTTGAACTTGCTCATTTTCCTTATCCGCTTTTGCGAGCTTAGCTTCTAACTCTTGAATGGTCGATCTTAATTGAGATTCTGTTTCTTTTAATTTTGCAAGTTCATCTTTTGTATTAGCAATTGTATCTTCTTGTACTTGCTTTAATTCAATTTCAAGTGATTCACTCTTTTGTTTATGCTCACTTATTTCAGCTTCATACTCCTTTAATGTATTTTCAAGTTTTGAAATTTTTTGTTTTTGTGTTGCTTCGGTTCCTTTAGTAAGTGCTAGCTCAGCTCTTAAAGAAACTAGGTCTTCACTACCTGCGAGTTCTTGAACTAAACTAGATTCTAAAACGGTAATTCTTTCTTTTTGTACAATATCATCTTGACGCAATCGTTGTAAGTCTTGTTGAAGTTTTAATTCCTCGTCATTTAACATCCTAAGACGTTCAACCGCAAGGTTTTCATTCTCTTTTGCTTCTTTAAGTTCTTTTTGTACATTTTCTAATTCCGTGTATATATTTAAATTCCCATCTAACGTCTTTTCTGATTGCAATTGAGATCGGAGAACTTCTATTTGATGTTGCATTTCTGATCTAACTGTTAACAACTGATCTTGTAAAATTTTGGCTTCGGCTTCTTTCTCATGGAGCTTTTGTTGTAGCATGCCTTTATCAACTAGATCTCTCTTAAAACCTTCAATTAATTCGTATTTTCGTTTAGTATCATTCTTAAGAGTTTCTAATTGTGACTGCATAGAACTAACTAATTCCATTTCAACTTCTAAATTCTGTACAGTCTCTGATTTACGTGAAAGTTCTTTTTGTAAATCTGACAATTTATCTTGTAATTTGCAAACAGTCCTGTGTGCCGGATCAGCCGCACGTAAGAAAGAATTTCTTGGGGTCGGGATATGTTGAGCTTCTTTTGCTTTCGTTAGTTGAGATTCAAGTTCTTTAACTCTAGCTTCCAATGTTTTAACAGTTTTGTTATCGTTTTTGTTTTTATCTGGAATATTACCTAATTGATTATTTTCTTTCATCATTTTTCGTTGAGTTTCTCGAACTTCTTGCAATTCAGTTTCAATTCGGTTAATAACATTTTGTTGTTCAACTGTTGGCAGTAATAAAGAAGCAATAGTACGACTCTTTGACTCTATATCGGATTGAAGTTTGTCAATACGTTGTTTCAGCGCCAAAATTTCTTTACTATTAGAATATCCTTCGAATTCTTTCGATAAATCAATATTTTCACCAGATTCAGAAGGCTTAAAACCATCTTCAAGACGTAAAGCTGTCTCGGAAATTTGTTCTTGTCTCTGTATCTCTTGAGCCTTTATAAGTTCATGTTCCAATTCTTTAATACGTGACTGTAGCTCAATAACCCGATCATCTTCGTTGTTGTCAAGAGCATGACTCAATTCTTCTTGGAATTCTTGAATACTTGATTCAATTCTTAGTACTTCATTTCGCTTCTCTAATGATCTTGTTTCACGTTCTGACAAAGATTCCATGGCTATTTTATGCTCTTCTCTAAGTTGTTCAACTTCTTCACGCATTCTTTGTACTATTTCAAGTGTATCAGTTTCACTGGTATTGACCGAATAATAAGAAGACGCACCTCCAGTTTCAGATGTTTTCGCTGACATGACATCTACTTGAACTAATGCGTCACGTCTTTTTATTTCGTCGCGAAGTTCTACGACTAGTTCTAAATTTTCACGATAATTCATTTCAAGTCTTGCGAATTCTTGTTTAATGGCAACCAATCCTTGATCTTTATCTTCATGTAATGAAGAAAGTTGTTGAAGTTCATTACTAAGTTTTTGTATCACAGCAAGATGAGCATCATCTTTTTCCTCTGATCCATAAATTTCCTCGGTAAGTGATCTTGTCTTTCTATGAAAGGAAAGTTTTGAATTAGCTGATTTATTGTCATTACTCAAACTCGTCGTTGGAGGTAATGATAATCTAAACGCATTAAAATCTGGAGATTTTGGTGATAACGGCGTTGTAGGAGTAGATTTAAAGTCATGGACCATTTCTGGATGAATTGCATTTTCTTCTGATAATTGATTTCGAAGCTCATGAATTTCTAAAAGACATAAATGATATTTTGATTTAATATCCTCGAATTCTTTTAAAGTATTTTCATGTGTTTTCTGTAAATCAAGAAACTTAGATTCTAAAGGAGAAAGGTTCATTGGATCATTATTAACTCCAGGTGTAATTGATGGTGAGGCAAAATGAATGTCTTCTGAAATTACGGATAATTCAGAGTCGTCATGTGAGAGAGAGTGGTTTCTTAATTCTTCTAATTCTCGTATAAGAGATTCGACTTTTTGTTCAAGGTGTAAAATCCTTTTCTCTCTATCATCTAATTCATTTAAAAGTAATTTTTTTTCATCATCATTATCAACTCGTCTTAATTTCTCTTCTAATTCTTGACATTCTGCCTCACGTTGATGCAAACGTTCTTCAAGTTTTTTAACGGTTTCAACCAACTGAGTAGATTTATTATCACTTATTGACATCCTATTTTCTAAATTTTTAGTATATCCATCCGAATTAGAATTATTAGCTTTCATTTGGGCAATTAGTGATCTTAATTCATTGATTAAATTTTGATCTTTCCCTTGTTCTGAAGATAGTTTATCAAATTTAGTTTCAAGTTCTTTAATATATTGTTCCGAAATAGATTCTCTCTCTACAAGCTTAGCAACCTTATTTTTTAGATCGTTGATATAAACTTTACTTTGTTCATTGGATTGCTCGGCAAAAGCTAATTTGCGTTCATGTTCCTGCAATAACGAATCAGAATGTAATAATGCAGCTTTTGAAAGTGCTAATTGACTTTCAAGTGATGAAATTGATTTTTCGTATTCTTCTATAACAGGTTCAGCAGCTTCTTGAAACGATGCATAGTTTTTGTAATTTTTCTCATCGAGTTCATTAATTACGGATAATGGTTTTTTAACTAATTGTTCTGTGGTGGCGTCTATATCTAAACCATCAGTATTATCTTGATGCGTTGCTAATTCTGCAGAAGTTTTAGCATAACGTTGAGAAAGTTCAGAGTAAGATCTTTTTAATTGTAGAAGTTGTTCTTCAAGAACTTTTACATCTTTATTTGATACTACTTGTTGCTGGGGCATAATTGGTATATTTGAAGAAGTTGAAGAATGTGTTTTATCATTTGGAGATTCACTTGTATTATAACGCTGTGGAGTCTCCCTTCCATTTATATAGCGGTGTGGAGTTTCTCTACCATTTATACCCGGAGTAGTTCTTCCAGATGTTGTTCCGGTTGTAGAAGTACCATTTGAACTTATAATTCCGGAAGCTGCTTTAATTATTTTAATTTCATTTCTTAATTTTATTACTAAACCTTGTAAATGTTCTATATCATTCCAGCCTGTTTCTATAGCATTTACAGTAGCATTATTTTTAATATTTTTAGCACGATTTGCATATTTCAATGTATTAACAGTTTCGTTAATATTATATTCAGCAGGAGTTACGCAAGCAATCATAAGGGTTTGTGCATTTCCTCCAAGAGAATCTTGAAGGAGGCGAGTAAGCTTCGAATCTCTATATGGAATGTGTGTAGTGTGTTTTGCTTTGTTCGGATCACCTAGGGCAGATATTACATTTCCTAAAGCTAAAAGACCCGAATTGATTGAAATCCCTTCTTTAACACGTTCACCCATAGCAGACGTGCGTTTTAACTTTACAATCATAAAGTTTTGTAAATTTTGTTAAAATTGAATTTAATAATGGTAAATCTTTTTTTTTTTTACTTACTCTTTCACTTCCGGCTAAATCGACAAAATGAAATTTACTTGTAATAGAAATGTTTTCACCATCATCTAATCTTTTACTTGAACTTGATCTTGACAGAGGTCTTACACCAGATTTTTGTTGTGAGTCAATTGGTGGTGGCATAGACCCAGGTCTAGATGCAAACTTTTGTTGTTCTAGGGTTACTGAGAAAATAGCATGAGACCTAGAAGATTGAGCATTCATATCTGTTGCTCCGGTTTGACGATTTAATGAACCACGTGACAAGTGTCTAACAAATTTACAACGAGTTTTAGTTTTAATTCACTGCTGAAACATGATTTCATTAACATCTTAATATACGTACTCCATTACTTCTTCGACACTATTAACTTTAATTTCTTGTAACCCACTCCATAAAATATTTCCTTTCGAATCTTCTCTAATCAAAACCTGTGGTCTTGATTCATCATCGCCTTCATAAAATAAATCAATTAAATCTTCATTGTAAATTTCAATAAACGAAACCTTCATAGAAAATTTTCTTGTTTTATATTGATCGGACTGTATTGAAGAAAATAAGGTTGAAATTGATCTTGGGATTATTCCTTTTGCTTCTGGTTCTATTAATCCGTTTTCTGATGTACCCATTGTGAATGTTTTACCAGATGAGGTTTGACCGTATGCCAATATCGTTACATTATATCCTATAAAATTTGAAATTAATTATCAATCAATATAATAAATTCATAAGAGCTTATTTATATGATAATTTATATAATTTATATACATATAAAAAGATGAAATTACCCTCTAAAAATTTATCAGTTAATTTGAGGACAGCATTATCATATACATCTTTTTGAGTGGATTCTGGGTCAAACACATAATCGTAATTAAAAGTTTGTTTCTTATCATTCTTATCATTAGTTACGATAACCTGATTAGGAGCGTTTGGAGTTGTAGATAACACAGATTTTTGAAACCTTGTGGGCAAATTTGCTAAATCTTCGCTTGTCAATGGTCTTATGCGAAGGGCTATTATAAAAAGAATAGATAAAATTTAAGTTTTCGGATTAATTCAAAAGTTTATCTTAAATTAAAAGTTTCTTTTTTTGTAAAAGTAATTTGATTGATCTAAATTAGGTAAATGTTCACGATGTAGTAAATTTAGATTATTTTATCAATACTAACCAACTTGTACGGAAGTTTTTTCTGAAGCCATTATTATTATTATTATTTATTATTATTATTATTATTATTATTATTGATTGATTATTATTAAGAAAAGATTATATGATAACGATAGAGGCATTCAATATTAATGAATAAAGGTTCCAGCCCGTTTCGTAGAAGGAAATTACTTTTGCAATATTTTAATTTTGGTTGTGTAGATAATATTGTATGAATGTAATGCGAGGCCGATTGATATATTATATATATGGATTGAAATTTAATGATTTTAAAATTTTGAAGTTAATTGGAAAGAATTCTCTTTTAATTCGTTGCGTATTAATGATAGATATATAGATAGATATACATATATATACACACATACATACATACATACACATATATATATCTAATACCTTTTGCCTCCACTTTCAGAGAAATTCTTTTTCTTTGTTTTTGAACGTTTCTGTTCGATTTCTTTTTTGAAATAAAAGAGGTTTATGTTTTTTTTTACTTACTTAAAAGCCTTTTCATAATTCCGATGTTATGCATGAAATTCGATCGACAAGTGAAATTAATAAATAATTTGTGCTTCCCACGTCGGCTGTACGATACTTTATTAAGGAGAAAACCGATTCCCGATTTTGAAGATCTTCATTTTTTATGAAGTAAAATTGTCAGATAATGATAAAAAAAGTTATACATGTTGCACGAGATGAATTAAACAAAGCACCTTTTCGGGAATTTGTTGTTGCATGAAGCATACGTCAATTAAGGTCTAATTTGTCATTCAGAATAGCATTTATTTACATTGATCCGATTTGATTTATTCAAAAGATCTTATCTAAATGAACTCATTTTGGGTTCATTATATTTTTTAAATCCATTATCCTTTAATCACGCTATCAAACACATGTTGATGTTGATTTATTATAATGCAAGTCTTTTAATTCGCTGACTATCTCATGAATATTTATTTGAATATTTATTTAATATTTATTTAATATTAAATTATTTCCTTTTACGAATATCTCATGGTTTGGAAAAATTAATGGTGTTTTTGTCGAGAATTTAAATATAAATATTTTGTAAAACGACAAGTAGGAAAAAAAAAAAAATGAATCACGATTTTACATTGTATTCATGGTTACCCGAGAATAAAATTTGTTTACTAAAACAAGATTTTTGGCGCTTCAAAAAGTTATATGATAAGTTTCCAGAACTTTGACCAAGAAACGAACGTTCTGGATTCAAATAGATCTTCATTGTTTTCCACGTGATCTTGCTTTAATTCATGTGCTTCTCGAAAACCAAACAATTGTTTCATCGTTACTTTTGCTGTTTTAAAATTTCAAGGAATGGAACAAAGAAAATATATATATATATATATTTTCCTTCGTAATATGATTTTTTAAATACTTTTTTATTGATCATGCAAAAAATAAAAAAAAAAAAAAACCAACTTAAGCTTAAGAAAGCGTAATATGGCGTTATCAAGTGTGTAAAAGAAGGAACATAAAATAAAAAAACCATTAAATATTAAAAATATTAAATAAAAGTGGAGTTATGATCGGAATGACCACTAATTTTAGTAATTGTTCTTGCACCGTGCTACAAAAAGTGTTTTTTTTATGGTGATGCCAATCTCAGATTAACCATATTTAAGGAGCCTTGCATTTTGTAACGTTACATAGCTTAATAAACTTTAAAATGATACAGAAATTTTTTATTCAATAATTCCACTCCTTAATTTTTTTTTTTCATTCCTTTTTTTTTTTTTAAAAAAAAATCACTCCAACTCTCTTTTAACTACTCCGAAATACCATTTTTTAAAAAAATTTCATTACTCTTCTCATGAATAACAAATATTTGCAACCAATTGTTTAACTACAAAGTTGCAGGTCATCCTTTTATACCCTTTTCCTTACTACATATTATTCTATCACCTCGTCATGAATTCGGAAAATTTTGATAATCAGATATCGTCAGTTTTATTTGTAAGAGCATTGTATGATTTTGATTCAAAGGACAAGTCAAGTCTTTCATTCAAAAAGGATGATATAATACAAGTGCTAACGCGACTAGAGTCTGGTTGGTGGGATGGATTTTGTAAAAATGAGCGCGGTTGGTTTCCCAGTAATTATGTTGCTGAAGAAACCGGAATTTTCGGGGATGATGATGAGGTACATTTAAAAAGAAAATTATCCTAACTTCATAATGATTTACTAAGCACAACCTTTTACAAATTATAGTTTGATTGGATTCCTCAACAGACACCAGATGGAGAGATATTTTATTATAATACGAGGACAGGTGAATCATCTTGGGAAGTTCCAATGGATGATTGTGAATCTCTTACAACAACGCACACGGCAAGAGACACAATCGATGGTCTTGGTTCACTCTCAATGCAATTACCAGAGAATTGGATACCAAAGCTAAGCGAAGATGGCAATAATTATCATTATTATAATGTAATAACTAAGGAGATTAGTTTGTCTCATCCTGGGGATCCTGATTATGAGGAATTAAATTCACATGTAGCACTTGTTGGAGACGATTTGGGTTTAGATGATGATATTACTGATAAAGCAAGTATTGCAAGTTCAAAAGGTAGTCAGTTGAGTACAGCTTCAATTGACACCATACAACAAAGAAATTTACAACAAAGACGATCTATTGAAAATGTAATTATTTTCATGAACTCTTTCTTTCTCTCCCTTTTTGAATTAATCTTATTTTAATTTTTTTTTTTTTAAAATTTTTTTTTTTTTTTCCGAAACTAGCTTCCACCAAATTGGGATACAAGAACTATGCTTCAAGGGGGTGTGTATTATTATAATAAATTAACAGATGAGACAACTTGGAGTCTTGATAATATTAATGCTGATGATCAAATAGTAAGTCTCATCTTAATAGCAGACTTTTATTTTTGAATTTAATTCATTAAATTTTATGATATTAAATTTAGATAAGGACAAAGTACAATGGCAAAAGTGAATCAGATGACGAATCTCCAAACGAACCTTTACCTCCAATTCCTTCGAATGCAATATCGCGTTCACAAAAGACAATAAAGACATTCGCAGAACCTTCATTCAACATGTTTAAATATACAAATGACAACCTTACTTGGGATACTCTATCAGATAATATTGATTATTCTATTCATAATCTGAATTTGGCAGCTCAAGGGAATATGAAACAAAATTATTCGGATTGTATCAACTCTATCGTTGAGGGTGTCAGAATCATGCTCTATGCTTCTGGTACTGTGGGAAAAGGTTCGATTGCAATCAAGCAAAACAAGATCCTTAAATGTTATCATAGGAATATTATGGCAACACTCTCAAAATTGGTTATTTCTACAAAATTAGCTGCAAATGTATGGCCTCCGCCAGATTCTGCGCAAAAAGTGAAAAATGATGCTGAAGAAGTTTTAGGAGCAGTTCGAAATTTTATTCAAACGGCACAAAATATTGTTGGTATCAAAAGAGTCGCCGTTCCAAAATTAATTGAAAGTGCTACAGGTGGAAATAATTTATTACAAATACAAACAGATGTCAAACTATCATCGATTTCCTCAAGTAAAGATAATGATAGCGCCTTAAACCCTCCTGCTAGTCCATCACATCCTTTATCACCCGATCTTATCACTGCATTGGATAAACATTCTCGTACTGTATCTCTGGCTATTGTGTTACTTCTCAATTATGTTAAAAAAGTAATTGATACTCCCAATTCTTCCATACCAAGTGCAATAGGTTTTTTTTCACCTCAATTGATTTTGCAGACTAAACAAGTCCTTACTCAGGTTGGACAATTTTTAGCTATTATAGAAGATCTTAATTTACAAGACTTGAATGATTATAGTTTGGCTACAATAAATGAATTCAAAGTTGCCAAACAAGCGTTATATAATAATATATCAGGTTTGGTTATGTGTATTCAAGCAGCTACTGTTCCATCGTCTTTTCTAAGCGCTATGGATCAAGTTTTAGTTTGTACAAACGTTGTGGATAAATCTGTTAAAGATGTTATGATTGCTACAAAATTCCTTGTTGAAGAAAAAGATACTCTGGAGCAAATGAGAGTTCAAGGGGTGCGTTCGAGGAGTTCGAGCAATGTTGATTCGACATCAAAAATACGTCCCTCAAACAACTCTAATCCTCTTGATCAAATTGATGAGAATGACACTGCAGACGATCAATCTATTTCAACTTCGAGGCGTCCTAACAATGTTGATTCGACATCAAAAATACGTCCCTCAAACAATTCTAATCCTCCTGATCAAATTGGTGAGAATGACACTGCAGAAGATCAATCGATTTCAACTTTGAGAAGTTCTGGCAATGTTGATTCGACATCAAAAATACGTCCCTCAAACAATTCTAATCCTCTTGATCAAATTGGTGAGAATGACACTGCAGACGATCAATCGATTTCAACAATTCTCCCGACCTCTAAATCAACAGGTTTGCAAGCTATTCCTGAAGGTTGTGTTGATGATAGCTCAACAATTATTGGTGAAGATTTTAGCGCCGATAATCCAATTTCACCCACTCCAAGCAAGCGTTCAATAGCAAGCAGGCTACGTTCTAATAGTTCAGCAACTGCCGCATCTTTTAATTCATTTTCTTCATCAACACGTACAAACACTCCTTCAGTTACAAATACAAACAGTACAGTAGGCACGACGAGCCCTCAATCAAAGAAACAAAAGGAAGATAACCCTTGGTTCCTTAATTATGATTATGATCCTTCAGAAATGGTATTCCATATGGAAAATTGTGTAAAAGGAGGAACTTTAAATGCATTGGCTGAAAGATTAACTATGCATGATATATTGGATTCCAATTTTATTGCAACATTTCTGTTGACATATAGATCTTTCTGTACAACTGATGACTTCTTTGATATGCTAGTTAAAAGATTTATGATCCAACCACCTGAAAATTTAACCCCTACAGAGTTAGAAATTTGGCAAGAGAGAAAACAAACACCTATTAGATTAAGAGTTTTTAATATCATGAAATCTTGGTTAGAAAATTATTATATAGACGATGATGATGCACTTTGTTTAGAAAGAGTGAAGGAATTTGCAAATACAACAATGTATGATAATCTGGCCTTTGCCGCGGTTAGTTTAACGAAAGTGATTAGTAAAAGAGTATGTATATTTTTATGAATGCATGAATCATGTAAACTCAAACTTTTTCTTACGACGACAAAAAAAACCTAATCTCTTGATTTTCGAAAATTTGTAGCAACAACAACCAAAAGATGCCGTATTTAAAGCGATGGTCATGACAAATTCTAATTTGCCGCCATCACCAATTTTGCCAAAACAAATAAAGAGACTCAAATTTTTAGATTTAGACCCGTTGGAAATTGCTAGACAATTGACCTTAATAGAAAGTAAACTATATAATAAAATTCGACCTATAGAATGTCTGGATAAAGCTTGGAGTAAAGGTGAAGGTGAGATAGCAGCAAATATTAAATCCATGATCGAGAGTAGTAATAAGGTAATATTTATTAGACATTTTTAATTAAACATTATATACACTTTTATTAACCAATTAAAATATTTATTAGATAACCGGATGGGTGACCGAATCAGTTTTAGATCAATCAGAGATTAGGAGGAGATGTTTATATATCAAACATTTTGTAGCAATAGCTGATAAGTGTAGAATTTTAAACAATTTCAACTCACTCACAGCAATTACTTCCGGGTTGTATTCTGCTCCGATTCATCGGTTGAAACGTACTTGGGAAACCGTAAATGCGAAAACCGTTCAAACACTTGATCATCTTAGTAAAATTATGAATTCAACAAAAAACTTTGCTGAGTATAGGGATATTTTACACAGTATAAATCCTCCATGCGTACCATTTTTTGGTAAGATAAATTATAATATTTCATTTTTTTTTTCTTTAAAATAAAATGATGATAATTCAATTAATTATAATTTTTTTAATAAAACTATTTTAGGTTTATATTTAACTGATCTTACATTCATTGAA